TCGGTGTGACTATCGAAGACGGAGATCCCAAAATAGGAGAAGAAGAGCCCGGGGTCTATGTCCTAAATGTGAGAAGAGCTCCAAAGCTCCAAAGAAGCCCTGGACTGCGCGAAGTGAGCGTCGGTGATGTCGTCGACGACGGTGGAGGTGTCGTGCCTGAAGGCAAGCGTGGCATCTGCAGCGTTAGTGGGGTGCAAGCGCTGTCGGACGGCTTTATTAATTGCTGCCCGTCCGAAATGCTGGCCGACACCGGTGCCGTCACCAGTCTTGTCGACAAACGCGTGTTGAAACGTCTCGGTCGAGCCTCCGAGTCTCTAAGACCTTATACGGGGAGCCTGGATAGTGTCTCGGGACACAATATTCGCGCTAGTGGCGTTATCGACTTGCCGGTTACGCTTGGAACGCTAGAGAAGATGCTTCCTTTCGTCGTGACCGATCACTTGTTTGTAGACGCATTTCTCGGAACGGACTCGCTAAGGGCGTTCCGTGCGGTGATTGAGCTCGAGGATCAGTCGATGACACTGAAAGAGACGGGAGAGATCCCGTTGGGTGCGACAAGGGTGGAAGAAACCTACGCGGCTACGATATCGTCGACTGTGTGTTTGGAACCAGGACGCCAGGCCCTAGTGAGATCGAGCGTTCGCGGAACGATGAAAGACCACTCAGTTGTGTTGGTCGAGGGCGTTTCCAAAACGGACGAGTCTTTGAGAGTCGCGAGGACGTTGTGTACCGTAAGGGATGGAACGGTGTTGGTCGAAATGTGCAATGCTTCCGCGGAAGAGGTAGAGGTCAAGTCTGGAGCGTACGTCGCTGACGTAACTATCGTTCCCAAGTCGGCGTTCGCAGCTGGAGCGTCTAAGCCAGATTGAACGGCGAGGAATATAAGCGCAGTGCTGAGTTCGGTGAAAGAGAACGTGACATCCGAAGTTGGAACGATCGTGGCTGAGATGAGTGCTGCCGTGGACAACAGCGAGGGAGATGAATTCGAAGTGGACTTTGAAGACTCGTCACTCGGAGCAGAACAGAGGAGCCTCTTCACGAAGCTGCTGAAGGACCTAAGGACTTATTTGTCAAAACTTCTAAGAAGCCAGGGAGGACGGGTCTGCTACGATTCAGTATTGACACCGGAGATCACGCGCCTATAAAGCAGACTCCATACAGAGTGTCGAAAGCCAAGGGGGCGTAATAGAGGCCGAAACTTAAGAGTACCTGGATATCGGACTTATCAGACCTTCGACAAGCCCGTGGGACAGTCCTGTGTTGATGCTACGGAAGCCTGATGGTGGCGTTAGATTCTGCATCGATTATCGAGAACTAAACGCAGTGACCGTGAAGGACAATTACCCAATGCCTTTGATCGACGGCATCCTAAACGTTCTAGGGAACGCGAAGCTTTCTCCACAATGGACATCGCTTCGGGATATTGGAACGCTCCAATGGATCTCGACAGTGTGGAGAAGACAGCGTTCACGAGCAAATTCGGCCTCCACGAGTGGTTGGTTCTACCGTATGGTTTGCGTAACGCTGTGTCTGCCTTTGCGCGTCTGATGGAGAACGTTCTCGTTGATCTCAAGTGGAGGACGTGCCTCGTCTACTTCGACGACTGCGTTGTCTTCAGTGACGACTTTCCGACCCATTTGATTCGAGTACGACAGGTTCTGGAACGTTTCAGAGCGGTTGGGATAAAGTTATAAATGAAGAAGTGCCATTGGGGACGTGACCAAGTGGCGTTCCTGGGTCATATCGTGAATCCGACTGGAATACTTCCGAACCCTGAGAAGGCGAAAGCGGTGATGAACATCGAGAGGCCGCATGACTTACACACGGTTAGGGCATTTCTCGGACTGACAAGCTACTTTATACCGGGTTTCGTTGTGATTTCTTCGCCGCTGGAACGCTTGAAGCAGAAGGACGTCGAATTTCGATGGAACGACGACTGCGAGGGCGCGTTCCGACAACTACAACGAGCACTAGTGAAACCACCGATACTGGTGTATCCGGACTTTAAAAAGAGATTCAAGCTCTACGTGGATTTGTCACACTTAGCGGTAGGAGCATGGCTGATGCAAGAAGTCGACAAGAGAGACAGAGCAATCGCGTACGCGAGTAAGATGTTGGTTGGATCGCAACGGAACTGGGTGAACAAGACTAGCGGAACGACAGAAATTGAGTGCTGGGGAATCGTATGGTCGACACGCAAGTTCCGGTGCTATATGAGTCACGCGGAATTTGATCTGTACATAGACCATCAAGCTCTCACGTGGATCTTCGGCGAGACAACAAGAACGTCGAGCGCCAAGCTGGCACGATGGTCCATGGAGCTATCGCAGCTACGATTTAACAAGCCAGGAACGTCGATGGGACACGCTGATGGTTTGTCGAGACTGTATCACCGACCGGATGCGAGTATTGTCAGCGCCATCCGGATGGCTGTCATTCTCAACGACAGTGAGAAAGAGACTTCTGACTTACGAGTGCCGACCTCGGATCAAGTGCCGACACAAGATGGAACGCCAGTCTTAACCGAACGCTGGGTCGGAACGTCACCGACGTTCCAATCCCAGTCGGGGAGCCTTCCGAGGCTACGGATCCTAACGGGGAGACTGAAAGAAGTAACCAACAGAGTGAGGATGCGTCCGTGGCTGTCGAGCCTCTCACGCAAGCGAAACTGGAGGGACTCGCAAGGGAGGGCTCTACAGGCGAGCCCATCACCGATTGACGTGTTTGGGTTGGACTAGGACAAGTTCGTGGCTAAACAAGAACGTGTGCCCTGGATGCGAGCGCTGAAGGCGTTCCTGAACGATGGAGCCTTGGCTCTTGACCCACAACTGAGAGTGAGTGTGCTGAAGATGTCTCCGCACTTCTTGATTCGAAACGGAGTTTTGGCACGGCTGGTACACCTAGGAGCGCGTGCCGGTCTAGCCTGAACCGTCTGCGCTCCAACTGTCCCGTTACCGTTCATTGAGACGGTCCTGCACTATTGTCACGCCGACATCTTCTCTGCATACTTGGGGAGAACGAAGACGACGGACAAGGTGAGACGCCACGCGCATTGACATGGGTGGAGGAAGGACGTGATCGAGTATGTGCGTGAATGCTTTATCTGCAGGGGCGGAAAGGGACATAGACCCTGGAAAGCTGGACTGATGCAAAGGATGCCTGCTCAGGACTTATCTGGCCCGTTATCGCTACGCGTAGTCGACGCAATTGGACCATTGGTCGTCACTCTTTGTGGAAACAAGTACATTCTAGTGTTTGTGGACTATTTCACAAGGTGGGTCGAGGCATTTGCGGTCGCCTCGTTGGACACGATTTCGTTTGTGAACGCTATGATAGAGGGCGTTATCTGCCGACATAGAGTACCGGAACCTCTACTAAGTGACCGTGGGTCCAACTTCACGTCTAATCTGGCCAAGTCACTGTATCAGACGTTGGGGATGAAGAAGTTGCTCGGAGCGGCGTACCACCCGCACACACAAGGTCTGGTGGAACGTCTCAACGGAGCGCTGATGGGTATGCTGCGTATGTTTGTGAACGAGACGCAGGCGGATTGGGACGTGTACCTGCCAAGTGGCCTATTTGCGTACCGGACGGCATATCACGAAGGTCTCGGTGACACCCCGTTCTTTAGTCTGTACGGACGTGATCCTGCGCTACCTATCGACATGGCGTTCCTGAACACTGGAAAGCACTGGAAGAGTAACGAAGCTGCGACGTACCGAAGGAAATTGTATCGCTCGTTGCGTGACTCTCGTCGTTTTGTGAAACGACAACTACTCAAGGCTCAGGATCGACACGAGCAGAGGTTGGACAACCAAGTGAAGGTGACATATGCAGAAAGAGACGCGGTCAGGGATACCAATACTTTGAGCCCGGGTTGGGTAGCGTAGAACGAAGAAGCTGGCGTTATTCTGGCACGGTCCCTACCGTGTTGTTGGCCAAGTCGGGGAGAACGCCTACAGGATCGCGATTCCGACACACCCGAACAAGGTCGTCACGGTGAACGTTAAACGTCTGAGGCGCTTTCAAGGACACTGGAGCCGACCCTACGCAGACGAGAAGCCTGATAGAGTCGAAGAAGAAGAAGGTGCGGACGGTACGGGTCCATTGGACGTCGAGGACTTGCCGCCGACGAGCTTTGTGGAACGTCTGTCTATTGGCGAAGAAGAAACCGCGTTCTCAGGAGTGTCATCGCCGATAGTGAACGTAATCGCGAAGAGAGTCGCAAAGCGTGAGTTGCAGTATCTCGTGTTCACCGCCACGTATGAGACGTTCTGGCTGTCCTGAGCGGCGTTGGAACCGGAGTTTGGAGCGATGATACGTGCATTTGAGGACTAAGACCGAAAGAAGAGAGGTCTACCCGAGTTGCATCGGAACGTCAGATTGGTCGAAGCCAATGCTGATGTCGACGACGCTGAGGTGTTGTTGTAGCTGGCAAAGGGGATCAGTTAGAACGTGCGCAGTTGTGGGACTGCATGGGAGTGTTTGAGGCTCGCTAAGTCTCAAGACACTGAGTGACGTGTACATATTTTCAATTTTGGAACGGCGTCAGGTTGTTCTTTAGGTTTTACGGAGTTGGATATTTTGGGAACGTCACGAGCATACGAAGACTGAGTGTGTCGGGAAGAACGCGAAAAAGTTTGTGAAGCATCAGTTTGGCACGTGAGGAAATTTATATGGCGTTAGTCTGGAACGTGAGGAAGTTTATGAAGCGTTAGTTTGGAGTATGAGGGAGTTCAGATGCGTTAGTTTGAAACGAGGGGAAGCATTTTAAGTAAGATTCGTTGGCGATAGGAACGAGAGACTGACGAAAAAGGGACAAGACAAGACGGCGGGAAGCGACGGAATGTTACGGTTAAGTGTCAAAAGAAGCGAGGGCTACGAGCGGCTACAACACAAAAAACGGGAGGGTCTTGGAGCTACTTGGCGGCCTTCTTCTGGTCGTCCTCATCTTCGTTTTTGTCGCTTTCCTCGTCGCCATCCTCGTGCTCGACGAATTCCTATTCTTCCTGCTCGTCTTCGTCGTCATCGGCCTCTGACTCCTCGTCGTCGTTACCAGAAGCGTCGTCGTCATCGACTACGGCTTCGTTCTCTTCGTCCTCACATTCGTCTCCGAGCTCGGACCAATCATCTCGGTGACGTTCCATACTGGACGGAGGACGAGTAGTGGGGACCTTGTACGTTCCCGCGGCGAGCTGAGCCATGATGTCGTCCTGAGCCAATTTGACAGTGTGACTATTGATGAGCGACATCCACGGTTCCTTGTTCTTATCACCTGCCCAAGTGGTGCTTGGCCTCGTACAGGACATGGTGTCGCGGCGAACCCGATCCAGAGAAGCGATGGAGAGTCGATTCTTCTCGTCCGCGGCTGGATTTAGCGCGTCCGAAGACTCGAGCAAGGAACGCAAGTCGGGGTACCCGTAAGTGTCGATAGTCGACGGGTCCAACGCGTTGGCGAGCGTGGCGTCGTACCTTTCTGTTTCAGGGACGATAAGTCCTCAGTGATGGGTCCGGTGTAGGAACGACCGTCGCGTGTGGCTCTGCCGGGCTGGCCTCCGAGCCAGTAAATCTCGGGACGCTTCTCCAGCATGCATAAATGCCCCACGTCTCGATGCAGAGACTTGTGAAGACCCAGCGAGCTTGAGCGGCGCGCATCTTCAGCTTACGACGCTGAGTCATGGCGGCTGCCGTGGCCAGAGGAGCGTGGAGATCCCACTCCCAGAAAGCTCGACGGTGCGTCATCCAGAAGCGCCTGTGCGCGCGATACACGTGACAGAACTTGATGGGGTCGTACCAAATGGGACGTCCTGTCCAGGGGAACGCAAGACGCCAGGGCTTCTTACCGAGAGCCTCTGCCTTGGCCAAGACGGCGGCGATTGCACAGCGAACTGGGGCTGGAGCAGCTTGGTTCACGTCGAGAAGATGTCCAAACTCGTTGGACGGGATATGTGGCTTCTTGGGCTTGCTGACGGTGCACACCTTCTTCGTGAACGCTTGTGGAGCAGGGTCGTCACTGCTGGCCTTACGCTTACCACGCGCTGGCGACTTGGGCGACTTGGACGACTTCTTTGAAGGCGACTTGGACTGCTTGCTGGACGAAGTCGTGGACACCGAAGAGGAGCCTGAAGAGGGAGCGATGTCTGGCGGTGCGGGGAGGGCTTCGACGGTTCCTTGGAGTGAAGCACTGGGCCGACCGTTCAGGATGTCCTCGGCGAGTTGGTCCAGGAGCTGTAGACCTAACGACATACTGTTGGCGCCAAGACGCGCGCGCAACTAGGTCCAGAACTGCTGCTGGAAGGCCCGCGCAGTGTCCCCAGGGGTGCCCTGCTCTTCTTGGTCGAGGGCGGCGTTGCGAAACGCCCAGAAGCGCCTCAGCTCGGCGGCGGAGAGTCGTGTGGACATGGCGAGGTGGCAAAATGCGGAATGAGAGAAACTTGGAAACTGTAAGGCCTCGCGTCTTTCTTTTGATGGCTACCAAGGGGCACTGTAACGGGCCTGGGGTGTCCGTTACTTGCTTACACGTAGTGATGAGGAAGCGTACAAGTCCAGTGATACTGAAACCAAGTACTTAGTCTGAAGGAAAATCAACTCTGTTTTTATTTAGGTCCAGGGCAGCTTGCCCTGACCACTCGAATACACGTCAACTCCTTATTGGTTGATTATGGGTCTGGCTTCCCATATTTCAACCAATAAGGTGACGGCAGCTCAGCACACGCTACTCGTGTGCTGCTGCACCTACTTTTGTAAAGCAAATCTACCTACTTATGTAATGGTGTGAACCACTACAAAGAACCTATAAAACTACCTACATATGTAACTTGGGAGGGCCCATTACATCACCCCCCTCTTAAGACAGCAATCACCTAACGGAGGTGCGCTTCGGAGGGCAATCGGGAAAAACTGGGAAATGGCGGAGAAGAGAACGCTTGAGAAATTGACGGGCGGGAGCTCCTGCGAAGCCCAGGAGCAGTACAATACAACTTGCGCGGACGAGAACAACATGGCGCAGCGGACGGGGGCGGCGAACCAGGCAGGAAGCGGAACAACGCGGACGGCTCCAGCGTCGGCGACGACGCTGAACAGTGGGTGGACCGCTGATATCGCACCTGAGAGCGTGAGTCGACTTGGGGTTTGGCCCGGCGTAATGAACGAGGATATGAAGCCGTGGGCGCTGTACGACTTGTCCGGGGCGGTGACCCCGGACGCGTTGGACACCATGCAGGACCACTTTCGGCGCTTCAGGCGTCTTCGGAACAAAACACTCGACGGCGCGACGTACGAAGCTTTGCAGAGATCATGGTGCGCATTCATCCGACGGTGGAATCGGATGCATGAGGCTGGAGAAAGTGTCGTCGGCTGGCTCGGTGATCGCGAAGCCCTACAAGCCGAGCATTCACTCGGTGATCTGCGTCTGAAAGTCTGCGATGATGCTTGGACCGAAGACCGTTTGTGCTATGTCAACGTACGCGAAGGTTGCAGTTCGTGTGACATCGGGCGACGCCCGACGCAAGCTGAGTGGGATCAGCATATTATCGAGTATCCGCTCATGGCGG